ATCAGGGGAGATGTAGTCTATAACATTTGGAGTGCCAAAGGTGCTACCTCTCAGAGATGTTCCAGATGTGCATATATGATTGGCAGGATGAATTACCAAGGTCATCCTCTGCCACATGTAGGGAGCAATATTTTGTTTAGAGGCCCATGTGGTCAGCTCTTGAATTTGTGCAGACTGCCTGAAAGGCCTTGGTCTTCTCTTCCAAAGCTACCATTGTGCCCAAATTCTGCAAATAGAAAGTCGAGATTTTTTTTTTTTTTTTTAATAATCATTTTGTTAGGTTCTTCTTAATAGGGAGAGTCATCAGCTTCAGTTACTCTTTGTCTTTTTTAAGGTTCAACTGGAGTCGGAGTCTAACAGGACGTGGGACCACTCCATCTTGAAGATATCTTGAGATTCCATTTTGAAAGGTCTGACACACTGGAGGATTTTGGACCAACTAAAAGTTTGTTCTTGAACATATCCCAAGGTTTCGGCCAGTTGAGGAGGCTTGAATGTTTAAGTAATCAATCGAAGATCAGTCTTCCTTGGCAGTCATTGCTTTTATATTGCAATATCAGCCTTCATTACCCACTTGGACGTGTGTCGTTTGCTAAATAGAAGCCGGATCAGCTGACACTGATGCTCTGTCTTCAAAGCAACGAAACAACACATACACAATCAGGGATGACTGATGGGAAAAGCTAAATGATCTTCACTTGGGTAACATAGCAGCACTTTGGAAAAAGAGCATGAGCATGATGCTACTGGAGAGATTATTAAAATAAAAATACATTTAAAGTGACAATCTAAGCATCATAGTAATGTAAGCTCTTTCTCATCTCCATGTCTCTCAGGACATTATTATTTACAAGTGATTGCCATAATCACAGAAGCTATAAGCTCACTCTCTAGTCACAGATATCACAACAAGAAGCTATGCTTTCTCCTCTGCTTGTCAAAGTACTTACATAGAATAGACACAGTCCTCTTAAAAGGCTCTTGAAATCCAGACAAATTTCATGCATAATAAAGCATTTTAAATAATGGGATATGAGCACAATTTTAAACAGCAGTAACACATGATCATTAATGGAGAATACAACATAGTCCTGGATTGGTGGTTTAGGCCGAGAGTTGGAACGATAAGTCGGCACAGCTTCCTGATGTTAGGTATAGTGGTATAGTGTGAGTTAGGTATAGTGGCTAGATGCTGTAGACAGAGCCAGAACTCCTGACACAGATGGTTGACCCACGCTTCAAAACGCTCCCTCCATACTTGGGGCTTAAGGCCTACGCTGCACACTGAGCGTTGCTGTTTGGCGTCCATTTTGGGCACCACAGGAAGTGCAAGGTGCAATCAGTTAAGTGAAGTAAATTCCCTAGCTGGAATTTGGATAACCCCCACCGATCCAAGGTGGGGATATGGGGTTGTAGAGATGGCGCTGTGAGCCAGACGACCTCTCCAGCCAGCGGGTCGCCAGCAGCAGTAGGCCGCAGGTCTGGGTAGTGGGATTACTGGTCAGAACAATGGTTTTTAGGGTAAGTAATATCCTCTCTGGTTAGTTGACAGGCTGGTCGTCATTCTGGGTCATTGTCAGCAGTATTGGTTCAGGTTAGTCAGTCATATCTCCAGAGTAGCAGGAGCAGCTCAAACATGCGCCTTGCCATCTTGTGTCAGGCCCTGTTCCCCCAAAGTGTAACTTTTCTCTGAAAAGGCAGTGTTTATATTGAAAAATCTGCAGGGATAGGCTATAGCCACCAGAACCACTCCATTGAACTGTTGTGGTTTTAAGTGACTATAGTGCCCCTTTAAACTCAAAATAACAACCCAGACTACCTACATTGGTTTTGGTTATGGCACAGGGTCTAAAAGGGTTTCCACCCCCCCAAAAAAACAAAACTGTGTTTTTGTTAAAGGCAGTCCCCCCGTTCCTCCCCCCCCCCCTCCAAAAATGTTAAAACTTTCCTCCTTTCAATCACTTCTCCCCTCTACCAAATCTTCATTGGTTGACATTATTATCCTTTACAAAAGAAGGAGGAAGGCCAGGGAGAATGGACTAAGGAAAGGACAGAGGTGGCACAGAGAGGGGAGGGCATGCTGTTTGTGCTGGCGTCAGACTACAATTTTGCAAAGAATTTATATTAGCCAGCTTGGAACTTTGTTCTAAGTTGGCTAATGATGCTGCTGGTGGTGGAGTTAACCTCTGGCATTCAAAGGGTTAATCAAATCGTAATGCTGCAGATTTTAGGCACCATGACCACTTTAAATCAGTGAACTGGTCGTACAATGCGATAATGTGACTTTTAAGCATGATATTGGGTACGTAGATCTAATTGTCGCTTTTTCACACTTAAAAAAAAAAAAAAAAAGAATTTGCATTGTAATCTTGAAAGGACACTCTGCAACATACCGAAAACTCGCTGTACTGGTTAAGTTACCAAGTGTCCCCTGGTGACACCACAGGTTTAAAATCTATGTAAAATTTCCTAGGGCTAAGGGACTTCCCTCTCCCTATTACAAATGTCAATTTTGTTCATTCTGTAAATTGATGGTCTGCGTGTAGGTAATTAATCAACCTCATCATACCACTCACTGCCCATGGGAGAGGGGAGATTACCGATCAGAATTCGCTAGGATGAGGAGGTTCTCTAGACCACCAATTTTCTATCTTTACAAATACATAAACCTGGTGGGATGAGGGAACAAACTGACCAACTCAGGTTATCAATCTATGTACCAACACATCTAGGGGAATGATATAGGACATCTCCTAGTTAATAGGGTTCTGGAGACTGGAACCATTTTGCTAGAAACTAACTTTTCTAATGAAGTTTAGACAAACAATTTGGAGGGATTGAACAGAGTATAGTATAGAATAGCAGAAAGATTGCTGTGACAGGAAGGGAATGAAACCCCACACTAAATCTATCCTCGTTAATTAAGGAAGAAACAGTATGTTGGAGGGGATTTAAATTTGCTCCCTCCAGAGCACCTAAACCGTTTTATTGATGTTCAAATGTATATTTGTAAACAAACGATAAACAGACGTTTCCTTACAAGAAATCATAATAGGAATATGGGAGCCTCTAATGCGGTACCGGATAATAGGTATCCATAGGCCATAATGGTTCTGGATTCTCCTTAGGCAGAAAAAATCACAACGAGAGAGACAAAGTAATATACTATGTCAAAAGAAGTCTATTTTACACTATACGTCTATCCTATACAGCACTATGGAAAGTGTATAAATGGTTTAATAAATTTGTTTTACGGAAAATGTTAATAAACAGATGTAGCTGCATGATAATTTAACTGATGTTTAAGTTCTGGCACTAAAAGTTATTATATTCAATCAGGAATAGAAATCTTGAATAAGGATGAATTTCCTCACAAATTAATTTGCCAGTTTCCGCAGACTATTTTAGGTCCTACTTAAGAGACACAAAACTCACCTCCCCCCAATAAAGTTCTATGCCTAGCTGAAGACGGAGTTTGGACACTGCATGCAAAACATTACAGAAAAGAGATTGCTAGAAATGGTTATCGGAATGCAAAATATGGACACCATCCCAAATGGATCAAAAATATTTCCAAAAGTGTAGAGCCTGATTTTAGAATCATGACTGGAGTCTAACAATCTGAAGGACTCCGATTATAGCATGAATTAGTTAGAACATGTAATAGTTTGTATGTTGTACATCCATTGGAGAATCCTTGTGGCAGAACTAACTCCAATGCTTAATTTTGGGAAGAAAGGCAGTGCCAAATTTGAAGGTTTTCAGATATTTAAAATCTTCATGAGGAAAAGCCTTTAGTGTCGGTCTGTTAGAAACTGCAATGTTTTCATTTGTCAAATAGCAACTCTTCCGTTTGTCACGCTGCAGGTACAGAGTGTTTGCACCAAAACCACTACATCAACAGGGTAAATAATAAAGGGAGAAATGTGAGGAATGCAAAGTGAATTTTACATTTAAGATCAAAAAAGCAGAACTGGAAAAATTCTCAAAATTAACTATGTTTCAAGTTTGACCATTTCAAGCTAAAAATTTGAAATTTACTTTGAAGCCTCTAACTTGAAGGACCACTCTAGGCACCCAGACCACTTCAGCTTAATGAAGTGGTCTGGGTGCCAGGTCCAGCTAGGATTAATCCATTTGTTTTATAAACATAGCAGTTTCAGAGAAACTGCTATGTTTATAAATGGGTTAATCCAGCCCTCAAATCCTCTAGTGGATGTCTCATTGACAGCCGCTAGAGGCGCTTGCGTGATTCTCACTGTGAAAATCCCAGTGAGAAGACGCCAGCATCCATTTGTAAATGCTTTCCTATGAGACCGGCTGAATGCGTGCGCATCTCTTGCCGCGCGTGCGCATTCAGCCGCAAGGGAGGAGAAGAGGAGGATCGGAGGAGGAGAGCTCCCCGCCCGGTGCTGGAGAAAGGTGAGTGTTTAACCCCTTCCTCTCCCCAGAGCCCGGTGGGAGGGTGTCCCTGAGTTTGTTTTCCTGGCACTATAGTGGTCATTTAAGTTAATAACCCTGTAAGATTTAGTGTTTTTCTTTTGGGCCATAAAGTGACCCATTAAGCTCTGCTCTTGTGAGAGATACAAGGAAATAGTTGTGTTAAAGAGTGTTTCAATTGGCTGAAATTGTTCAGCCACCTCCTTGTTGTTGACAAACTGATGGGCAGCATCATGGGCGACCAACAGAAAAAAATTAAAATAAATAAAAATGTAAAAAAACTGTTGAAAATTTTTTTCAAGAAAAAAAAAAAAAAGTGGAACAAGCCTGAAGTGATCGTAATTTGGTGTTAGTGATCTTAGGAGCACCGACGCATACCACAATTTTGTATAGAAGAGAACAGATAAATGACAAATGGTAAAGGTCAACAGTAACGAAAGGTGAAGATGATCCTGCAAACAAGTCTATAGTTTATCTAAAAACAAAAATACACTGCACATGTAGCTCTACCTAGAGTGACAGCTAGTGGTCTTTTTCGGTACTGCACAAATGTCAATGGGGGAAAAAAACATTATGTACATTAGAAAAAAAGAAAAAAAAAGTTTATTTGATAACTATTCACAAAGTTAAAAAGTCACTACTACATTATTGGAGTGTTCAACCATTGGGCAATACCCATAGCCATGTACCAACAATCTAATGTTATCAACCTTAAAGTTAATGTTCAGAAACATCCGCTTTGCTCCAAAACTTCAAGCCCTTGACATTAAGGGTTGATGTGCAATTCAAAGTAATGCCATGTTTTACAGGGAAGATGACAGAGGCCATGTTGTAACAACCCAAGTCTTTAAAAAGATATGGCAGCATTGGTCCCAAGAGTGTCTTTAGCACAGTACGTCCAGCCCTCCCTTCCCGCCCTCCCCATACAATATCTCTTTCTGCTCATTGCCCTTTCCAAAAAAAAAAAACGAAAAAAAAAACCACACACACAATTCTACTTTCTAAATCCATGATGAGCAATGGCAGCTATTTTAAAGTACAGGCCGATTAGGGTGAAAGCATTCAGCCGTTCAGATACTTTAGTCTAATTGGAAGGTAGCAATCTACTGCCATCCTCTTTTGTATCCGGTGTATTTGGATAATAGGTAAAATGTCTCTTCATTCCACTGGGTGAGCTTTTGAAGACGTGCATTTCTGATTTCATGGATGGAGCAATGTTTGTCAGAGGACTATTGAATAACGAGTGTATACTCGCGTAAATTAATACTCTCATTTCCACCATGGAAAATATTCCCTGCCTGTTACACGCACCATCCCCTGTATTCGCTAAACCCACACATGAGGTGACCTAATGAGAGCAATCTGCCCACCCATCAGATTTTCTCTGCATTACCCGTATGCACACTGCTCCATAATACTTTATCTTCTTGGAGACTATCTGCTTTGTTCCACAGAGACAATTATTAAATATTACAGTTTTCAATGCAGCCATGCCATAAATACCCCACCCACTCCCCAACTAGCCTAATGGGGTGAGCTGAAACAGGTCCTCAAGAGAAAGCAGGCTCTGCGTGGTTTCCCACTAAAGCCGGGGGGGCACGGGGGCTCTGGCGTGGGGCGGGGCGAACAAGAGGTGGTGGTCGTGGTTGAAGTAGGCGTCCTGGCTGAAGTGGAGGGGGCTGACGGTGTAGTGTAGGAGCGGAGGGCAAAGCTGGGCGTAAAAGAGGAGGAGGAAGGGAGAGAGTGGCAGCTGGTGGAGCTGTCTGACAAGAAGAGGAGACAGATGTGATCTGCACCTATGGAAGGAGAACAAAAATAATTACAAATTAGTCCTGCTTGTAGGTCATTATATACAATAACTTGTAACTAAACTGCAATCCAGAATACCATCGGTACACACTTAAAACATCCCAAACTCATGTGAGAAACATACATTTAATAGAATAATAACAGCTGAAACAGTTAGAAAGGCTGAAGAAATATGTGTGTCCATCTAGCTAAGTCTTTTATATCTGTTTTGGTGTTAAACCAAAAGAAGGCAAAAAAAAAAAATAATAATAATCTAACCTAGTTTGAAGCACTTTCCAATTTTGCAAAAAAATAGTAACGAGAATGGTAGTCATATCTCTTTGGATCAAGAGTGGTTGCCACACATATTAAAAATTCAGAACAAAAGCAACACTCACCAAACATTATTAGAATAAAGCAAACAAAAATAGGTGGTTCCAAGGCCCAATATATAGAGCTGGTTTGAAGCTCTATTTAATATAAATGTCTCACCATTCATTCCTGCCTTTGTATTTAGATATACTCCACCATTGGACTCTCTGTTTTTGTTTTACATAACTACCCATCTGAAGTGCAACTACCTAACTATTGTGAATAATTATCGTTACTCCAGCCAAGAAGAGAGAACCATCGCAGGACTGTTGCTTCTCCCCATTAACATGTTTCAGCATTTGATTTTTCTGTCTGTATTACTTCAGGTAATTCCACACCTTATTCCTTACTGTTAAGAACCCTTTCCTTTGCATTAGACCAAATCTCCTTTCTTGCAGTCTAAATGCATGACTTTGGGTCCTACACATAATCCTGTTTAGGAATAGGTTTCCAGACGATGGTTTGTATTGGGGGGGGGGGTGGTGGTGGTGTGTGTGGTGTGTGGTGTGTGGTGTGTGTGTGTGTGTGTGTGTGTGTGTGTGTGTGTATATATATATATATATATATATATATATATATATATATAGCTATCATATCCTCTCTGAGGCGTCGTTTTTCTAAACTAAATAGATGTACATTTGTTAACCTTTCTTTATAATGAAAATTTTTCCTTCCCCTTAATAAATTTGTAGGCTGTTTCTAAACATGTTCAAATTCCAATATATTCCTGTGTTTCAGCCTCTAAGTAAGTCAGCTACAAGTAATTGTTTCATATACTGGTATATTAAAGGACCATTATAGTGTGAGGAAAACAAACTTGTTTTCCTAACACTATAGCATTCTTAGGCCCCCTTCAACCACTTACCTTTATCCAGCGCTGGGCTCCCTCGACGCTGGTGACCTCTCCTTCCCCGCTGACGTCAGCTCCAGAGTGGAGCAGAATGCGCAGGCGCGGCAAGAGCCGCACGCGCATTCAAACAGTCCATAGGAAAGCATTTCTCAATGTTATACGTTCTGCACGCTGGATGCGCAGAAGCGCATCTAGCGGCTGTCAGGAAGACAGCCACTAGAGGTTGGATTAATCCTGCAATGTAAACATAGCAGTTTTTCTGAAACTGCTATGTTTACATCTGAAGGGTTAAAACCTGAGGGATATTGCACCCAGACCACTTCATTGAGCTGAAGTGGTCTGGGTGACTATAGTGTCCCTTTAACCTGTACACATTGTGAATATCGCGTGGGAGTCTGGAGTGTATTTAACCCCTTAAGGACACATGACATGTGTGACATGTCATGATTCCCTTTTATTCCAGAAGTTTGGTCCTTAAGGGGTTAAAGGCAAGCAACATATGTAAAAAGAACATTACAGGGAACATGGCTTCAAGTATGGTTTGAGATCAAACTTTGCACACACGGAAACACAACAGGGAACTGATTGTACCTCATCCTCTTCATCGTTGCTTGTCTGAGAGGAGCCAGAGGACTTACTGGCCGGCTCGGTGGATGCAGTTGATGGAGTCGGGTCCTGCTCTGCCTCCCACTCCTGTAACACCTCTTCCAGGTTAAAGCGCCTCCGGTAACTAATGAAGAAAGTCTTCACCTGGGATGGAGTTTTGTTACCCAGAACTTCAGCAATGGCCTGGAAATCCTTTCCGTATTTCCTCACAGCTAAGAATGGCACAGAGAGGACAGTGTTCATATTTTAAATCCGATTTCATTTTGTGACGTTATGCAACAGACAGCATTACACACCATGCCTTCTGATTCTACACCTCTATTCGTCCTTTGAATCAGCTCAACAAACCCTGAACTAATCCACATATGCAAACAGCACTGTCGATGCTATATCCTGCTATGTTGGAATATGACAGTCCTGTACAAAATATCACTGCATTAAGACCTCCTCAATGCACTCTCTGCTCCTAAAACATTCACCTTGCACGGCCAAAAGCTGTTCATCTGTGGTCCAGCGAGCATTCATCTTAATATTAAGCTATAGAGAGAGGGGGAAGCATTAAAAAAAAGTCAGTTAGTGAAATTTTATTATCAAATATTAGGTAAACGTATTTGTAAAACATAATAGATTGTCCTACCTCTGGGGGTCTCATCTCATTAATTCCTCCATCAAGGCTTTGCTTCAAACTACTATTCGTCTGTTTAATGTTTTGTACCTGAAACAGGAAAAAGTGTTACAAATGTTTTGCCAAGGCCCTGCAAAGCAGGATTATGCTGATCACACCATAACAGAGCAGTATCTCATCCCACCACTCTGAGATATTCCAGCTTGATAAAGACACCTTGTGTTGAAACGTTGCTCAGCCATTCTGTGCTTGATGGCTGAATAAACCATTATTTCACCTTATTTCGGTATGCTTAGGATTCCCATTTTTCTTATTATGGAAGACTATCAGAAGAGCAGGAACCCTGCCAACTATGTCAGACTTAAATTGGGTTTTAGCTTGAAATGCCCCATACTTCTTATTCTATTTTGCCAGCATGTTCTGTTACACACAATAGAGCTCACCACCCATGGCAGAAAATGAATACAGAATATAATATTTAGGGGATAAAAGAGCATGGAAAATGCTTAGTTTAGAGGAGTTAACTAAAAAATATAGCTAGCAATATCTTGTTTATGTTTAAAGTTCATCAGATAGCTTAAAGGAACACGATAGGATCAGGAAGAAAAACCATGTATTCCAGACTGTATAGTGTTAAAACCACCATCTAGCCCCTCTGGCCCCCTTTGCCTTTCTACATATAGTAAAAACTTACTTGTATTTAAGTCTGCAGCTGCTGGCTCTGATCTGCCTGCTTGGCTGACATCATCAGAAGTGAATCTCTGAGCCAATCACAATGCTTTCACATAGCATTGGCTGACACTGTCAAGGAGGCAGATCAGGTGTAGAGCCAGTACAAGCCAAACACAGCCCTGGCCCATTGAATCAATGCATCTCTATGAGGAAAGTTCAGTGTCTCCATGCAGAGCGTGGAGACACTGAATGGCAGTGCTGCACACTTTGTAGCACTCCCCCAGGAAGCACCTCTAGTAGCCATCTGAGGAGTAGTCAGTGAAGTTATCACTAGGATGTAATGTAAACACTGCATTTTCTCTATATAAACAGTATTTACTGCAAAAAGCCTGAAGGGAATAATTATACTCACCAGAACAAATGCAATAAGCTGTAGTTGTTCTGGTGACTATAGTGTTCCTAAAAAAAAATTTTTTTAAAAATTCTACCTTTGTTCTATTTATTTTTAACCAAACAAAAACAAAACAACCCTATATGTTTTAGATTAAAAAAAGAAAATCAATTTACACAAAACATGTTTTTACACTGAAATTCTTCATGTTCACCTATGCCCCAAGACGCACAATACAATACAGTCCAGCTTGTTGATGTAGGGTGTATACTTAAGCACTGCAATTTTTTTAAATAAACAATGCTTACCTAATGGTTAGGGGTAAGGGTCAGTTACTACTTAAAAAAAACAAAAAACAAAAAACCAAGATTTTCACTTTAGAGGGACCCTATAGGCACCCAGAACACTTCAGCTCATTGAAGTGGTCTGGGTGTAGTGTTGCCGTTCCTCTTAGTCCTGCAATGGAAAACATTGAAGTTTTAGAGCAAGCATGTCAAACTCACAAGGACCATCTTTCTGGCCCGGCGAGCCGCGAGTACATGCTGGTGTTATAGCAGAGTAGGCAGCTGCTTTCCCCACATTGCAGGTGCCTACTCTGCTAAAACTTACCCGGCTGGGGAGTAGGGGACGGTGGAAGAAGCGAGGGAGCTCCGTGTTCCTGCTCCTCACTGTCCCACGTGCGCGCCGTCTATAGTGAAGCCGGGTGCCGGAATATGACGTCATATTCCGGCACCTGGCATCACTAAACCACGCGCGCGGGAGCAGATAAAAGGACCCCAGGGAGATGCCCCACATCAGCTCCAAAAGGTAAGGAGCAATAAAGAAAAGTGTGTGTGTGCAAGAATGTGTAAGTGTGTGTGTCTGTCAGTGAGTGTGTGTCAGCGGGAGGATATATTTTGCACAGGGTTGTAGAGGGAGGTGCTGGGTTTTTTTTATACTGTACTTTTTAAAATAAACCTACGTTTCTATGAAAATTGAAGGTATTTGTTTTTTGCGGCCCAGATAAACTTAAACCTTGTTTATGTGGCCTGTGCCACTGAGTTTGACATGATTGATTTAGAGAAACCACAATGTGTATATGCAGAACTAAGATACCCTCTAGTGGCTGTCTATGAGACAGCCCCTATAGGAGCTTCCGGAAGTTTACGAGACTCTGGGTCCCTTAAAACGATGCTGGACCTCCTCACACTCTCCATGATGATGTCCAGTGTCAGTAAAATCCCCATAGGAAAGCACTGAATCATGCACACTAGCTCTTCTTGTCAGATGATGTCGAAAGAGGCGGAGCGCAGAAAGATATCCGGCGTTGCAATTCCGTGAGTAACTAAAGGATTTTTTTTTTTTACAGGTATGTTGGATGTGAATTACAGTCCAACCCACCCACCCACCCCCCATAATCCATGGGTGACTTCTGGCTTAACTTTGTATTACATCAATAAAGAGTTGGCTTCAAAATCATGTTCCCTATTAATTTCATTTGTATTAAATTATATTAAATGTTCATTACCACAGGACTGAAATTTTCATTTTATTTACAAATGGAATCTGCCCACTTGCTGTTAAACTCTATTTCTATAGACATTAAACGGTCATCTAAGCTACTATTCCCAATTTCCTGTACCAATGAAAAATAATTAAACACATTCTCCTGACCTGCCGTTTCAGTGAAATGAGTTGGGTATCCAGTTGACACAGAGCGAGTGTTGGCATCTCTGAGCTGGCACAAATAGAAGCAATGTCACTCTTGCTGAGGAACATGCCTTTAGGAGGCCGTCGCCGTGAGCGCAATGGGTGGTGTCTGTACTGAGAAACCAAAGGATCCTTCCTGACTGGGCCGGGCTTCCCAGCTGAAGCTAGCACTCCTTGCTTCTGGGGGTCCAACACCTAATATAAAATAAAAAGGATAAAAGGGAGGTGTTGATAGAGCTGGGTGAAAAGATGTCAAAATGGCCTCCAAGGCTACTAAAGCATACAGAGAGAGAAGTCCATGTTTGCTGAAAACTACAAAATAAAAAGGGACACAAGCACAAAAAGGAGAGACAGAATCATTACTCACTGAGGCAATTTTTTAATAGAATAATCCTTTCATCAAATTTGAAAGTTATTAGATTTTATTAAAATGAAGCATATGTAAAAAAAAAAAAAATTTAAATTGAAAAACATCATCTCCACCTACTAGTGTATGACATGGTCCTCCGGCCATATATGTGGATCTTGAGTCAGACAGATTCTGTGGTCTCCCCTGCTTCTGTGAATGGAGTGAAAATGTGAGAGATCATGGAGACTAACGGTTTGTTATAAAACATTGTCTGATCCAAGATGTATGTATATGGCTGAAGGATCCGGTCATATACTGATGATAGGGTGATTTTCTCCTTCCTAAACGCAATGAAAGGCTTATTATATTAAAAAATAATTTCGAGATGACTGCTGTCCTTTAAGTAACACTCCAAGTGCCTTAAATACAACAGCGTGCTGCAGTGGTTATAGTGCCAGGAGTTCCCTTGTGGTGCTCACTTCCCCATAGTAAGTAGTCAAGCAGGGTTTTTTTTTGCATAAATTTACTTCTGATCTAGGTTTTGGTGGGCTGGTCGCTCTCTGCCATTTAGTTAATTTATGTCTCTCTGGTGTTAGTAGTGGAGGCGGACCCCAGGTTAGAAATCAAAACGTTCAAAAATGCAATGACTCCATACTGTGTGTGTGTGCCAGGGCAATCCTGGCACCATAACCACTACAGAAAACTGCAGTTGCTTGAAATGGCGCTTACTCATCGGTAGTCTCTCATATTAGGTTTACTAACTTCCTTATATGTATCCTCAGATTTATAATGTGAGGTTTGAAGAATAAAATTAAAATGTATCTACACCTCTTTATGCTAAAACTGAGCAACTTAGCTCCCTGTCAATCATTTCTATAAACCCTCTTCAGCATACAGAAAGCATTCAAAGATGAAAAATGCAAGAATCTTTATATTTCCACTTCTCATTAGCAATAACTTTGCTTTGCCTGATCTGGATTAAAGGGAAACTAAAGTGCCAGGAAAATAAACGATTGCTTCCCCTTTGGTGCTGGCTCGGGTCCACCTTTGCTGTCTCTGTCCATCTGATTATTACTGTGTACCTGACTCTGGCTAGTTCTCGTTTTAGCTCTCTCTCCGTTACCCAGACATCAGCTTGTATTATAACTACTCGTTACTCTATCTAACATTTAGTCTGGCCACTCTAAGGCCTGGTAAGACATTTATATTTAGCTTGTCTGTTCCTTGCTATCCTAAACTATGCATGTTAGGGTTAATACTCCGTGACATAAAGGTAATTATTGGAATTTATTTAAAAAAAAACTGCAATAATTACCTTTCCAGGGTTATGGGTGCTGGGACAGTGCACCCACACCACTTCAATGAGCTATTGTGTTCTGGGTGCCTATAGTGTCCCTTTAAGATATTGCTAAAATAATATAAACTGTAAAAGAAAAACAGAGCAACTCTCTGAAGAGAATGTATAATTTATTTTAACCATGTTTTCAATATTTTATTCAGTGGTGTAAATGTCAAAGGTAGCTCCCTTTGAAGTGAAGCTCGTTGCAAGCGGACTGCTGGCACTTTGCTAGCTAGTGTGTCGTGGATCACAATAAAAGGATTATACAAAATGACCCAGAGTGCTTTTCAGAATTCATTTCTGATGTTGGACATTCAAATTTCACTGCCAGTTTCTTTAATATGAAGTCGTTTCCAGAGCTGTACGTTTTAAACTTTGCTCCTTACCTCTTTCTTTGTGTCAGGAGATTCTTGCTCAGCATCACTTATTTTGTGCGGTTCTTCACCATCTTCATTCCTGAGGGCAGGAGTGCTATGTATATTATAATGAACACATTAGGGGTCTTATCTCTCTTTTCATTACCACAACTTATTTTCCACCTACCCTAGCTCTTCCCATTTACAATTTAAAACCCGTCTATTTACCTTTGGGTCAAATATCACGACCATCAAGCAACGAAATATTCCCCAAAAACACGCTTTTTATTATCATACACCAATACATGCTCTTACCCCTCTTCCCTTTTGGTCTGCAGGCGGCGGGCCTGTCGGTCCATCACACTGGTTTTGCTCCGAGTTTTCTTCCAAGAGTAATAATATTTCACCAGGCTGGGTATTACCTTCTCAGGAAGCTGTGGGAGTAGAGTAGAGGGACTCTATGTAGATAGTGTGGAGTAAATGTGTCAGTCTGACATAACCATATATCTAAAGTAGTTTTAAAATGACATGTCCTGTAGCTGAGAGGACGCGTGTCCTCACCATTTGATGAATGCGCTGGAAGCATTTCCCATGGAAGCTGAATGCCTGCTCAAACAGGACTTTGTCTTCTACGCTCCACTCATCAGGAAATGGTGTGAAATTAGCTAGGTCGGCAAGTGAGCGCTCCACATCGTGTTTGTGCCATAGTAACATCCCTAGGGCCTGCAAGTAAAGGAGAACATAAAATACACACAAGGTGGTTCAAACAGGAAAAGAATGAACAGTGCAAAGAATGTGTCGATGAAGAAAGGAGGCGAGTACCTGTTCAACATTGTATCCATGCTTCTCCTTTGCCATGGAGATGTATTCATCCACTAAGGGAGCATAAAATAAGCACATGAAGGGGTTAAAGGAATTGTAATTCTTATTTTTATGTTTTTATTTTTTTTAAACATTCTTTATTTTTGAGTTTTGAAAGTATTGCATGTCTTCGGTGTGACCACACCGGTGCAACGGTTTATTACAGAAATTGAATAAACAAAGAGAGATTATGACAATGTTGCAGTATATAACACAGCATGGTATGGTTGTATGAGCTGTTCACCGTTATACTACAAACAATTGCTGTGGTATGCGATTTCTGGCTTAATTGGTGGGTTACAGCATCAATATAATACAGTTCAACTTAGTTTAACAATTGTACAATTAAATAATTGAGCAGAGTATATTTAGGATTAGTGGCCTGTTTGTATGTTCATTGTCCACTTATGGACGGTAGTGTGCGATCTTTCGTTCACCTGGTAAGTGGTTTTTCTGCAATGGGTTCCGGTTTAGGTTTATAGGTGGGCTGCGTGCTCCAGTTTGGTGGTGTGTTTTCGTTCTGGCTATGTCTGCGGGCTATGGTTGGTGGTTAAGGGAGCTAAGGGGGGCGTTTGGAAGCCGGCTAAAAATTTGAGGTGGATGGTGCCTTGGGGAACCACAGGAGGCCCACATCTCTTGGTGCCGTCGTGGCACATTTTTATTTTTAAACTAAAATAGAAGAATGGCTTTGTTGTAGCATGTCTGTGACAGTCACCAACACTAGGAGCAGAAGGACACTTTACAAAGGTTCCCAAGTCTAAGTCACCCTGTGCCTACTGTAGTTGCAGGGTGTTTATAATGTGTTTGTATATTGTTGATTTGTGTGCTCTCCTGTCCTCTTCATACTTGTTATCAAATAAGTGGATTTGGCTATTGAGCCTTTATAGCACCCTCTGTTGGTAGCAACAGCTATATACAGTACCTGAATAGCAAAGCTTGTTAATTTATAATTTGCATATTCAGGTAGATTTTCACATTACTAATTCTGCAGGCAGGAAATATATTTTGTGTTGCTTATTGACTTCCCCAGCCCTTTGTAGATATGTTATTGTGTTATTAGAATTGCCTGTATGTTTTCTGATATATTTTTATTAAATGTATTTTTATTGAATTGTCACCATAAGTTACATGTAAGGAGCATTTGAGCTAGTCCCAAGAAAAAAAGAAAATTGTGCATTTTAGTTCCTTTTGGAACTTGATTGCTGTGTGCTCTGAGCTTGTGAAATGGTCCAATCAAATGCTTCTACATGATCCAATAGATAGATATCAGCTATATTGACTTATGCTAGAAGGGTATTTGAGAAAGGTAAGTAGCTGTTAATGATATGGTTATTTGCTTTTAGGCTCTCCATCTAAGCACAGAAAAAGACATATAATCATTTATACTCACACTTTGCATCTGACACAAAATGATTTGGTGACCAAACCAGCATCCCCTTCATTTCCACATTACTAATACCAGAGAAGTTTTCTGCAGAGGATTCAGAAAATAAAAACATAGGTTAAGAAATCATTTTAAAAAACCTTTAACTTAATGAGATGGTTTTGGTGTATACAGCATGCCCCTCTAGTTGAACTGCGCAATCCTCTGCTTTTTAGGAGTTAAATCACTTTATGTGACCTATACAGTCTACCTATAGATTTCTTGTAAAAAAGATCTAACTTCCTTTATTGCACAGTCTAAGTTAGAATTTATTGTGCTCTGGCCCTGCTCTGATTAAAGCTTGCTAGAAACTTTAGAAGTTCAACGAATTGTGCTAGTCCGATCCGATTGAAAGTTAAACAATGTTTTCATGCAGGCTGTGTCCGTCACAGCCAGGGGAGGTGTGAGCAGGGCTGCATAAACAAAAACAAGAGTGATTTAACTCCTAAATGGCAGATAATTGAGCAGTGACACTGCAGGGGTATGATCTATACACAAAAACTGCTTCATTAAGCTAAAGTTGCTTTGGTGATTAAATAGTGTCCCTTTAACTATATAAATCAGATGTATACATAGCTCCCTACAGCTCACAGATCTCGGTGGTTTAACGGGAGAGGATATCAAGTCTGTGGCAGTCCCAGGTACCTAGTGAGGTGCAGTCTCCCTCATTAAACTCTCTAAGATCGCAATGATCTTCAAACTGTTTTTAAGGAACACTCCGAACCCCATAACAACATAAGGTAATTTAGACTAATATGTGAGCAGGTGTGTACTTCCTTACCTTCAAGGATTAAACAATTTGGAAATAGTTTAACTCTGAAGTTGAGGCTCCGGCACCCAGCACCTCTGCCACCCGGGTTCCTTCCACTGCGGTATGAGGGAGGGTTAGCAGGGAAAAGCTGAGAGCTTCAGTTGACGCTTTCAGACTACCACTGGGCGCCCATTGAGACAAGCAGTACATATTTCTGCCTACCCCAGAACTATTTCAGTCAATGGGCGTCCAGTGATAGGCTAACACATCCTCATCAGCAAAGCTCAAGCTGTCACAGGGGTGGGAGTGTTCATTTAAAACACACTGATACTATCTAGAGCAGTGGTTCCCAACCCAGTCCTCAAGTACCCCTTAACAGTCCAGGATTTATGATTTACCCAGTTGTGTCTAAGGTGTTTTTAGGAAGAAAGGAAAAAAAATAAACTTTAGACACAACAGAATAATCCCTAAATCCTGGACTGGTAGGGGGTACATGGGGACTAGGTTGGGAACCCCTGATCTAGAGGAATTCTAGAAATTACTGATCCAGAATGCAAATACTCCACCCATAAAATCCCCACAATTTGGATTACCATTTTGATTATCCTGTTTCAGTGATATGCTGGATGAAAAAAAAAAAAAAATAGAATTGTGAAGTAGACTCACACTATTCACTAAACAATTGTATTACTTCAGTAGAATTTCTTTAGTGAGCACACATCGTGGGACAGGGAAATGATAATACTCCGTGTCAATACAAAATGGTTCCTGCATGAATCCCAACAAAAAGGCAGCATGCAACAAATGATATATATATATATATATATATATATATATATTATATTTTGAAGTAGAATAAACCTTTTATTTTATCATTATTTTAATTATTTTTGAGCTGGTCTTACCTGGTTTATACTCTGGAATCTGAGCCTGGTAATCAGAACCCACTCGGATCATACTGTCTGCAGAAAAATCAAACACACGTTTACTAAAATCTGGCCCTAAGCAGTGTATAATGCAGCTGAGGGAGGCAGAATTTTCTTCACGGATCTATACTCCAGCAATTAGAACAAAACGCAGGACAATGGATCCCCTCACATATATACCACATTAAAAAGCAATCTACACTGGTGAGATTTTGTTTCTAAACTTTACTGCAAAGTATTTTTGCTGTTAAAGGATCACAAACATGTATTCCTGACCCTATTGTGTTAAATCCACCACCTAGACTCCTTGGCTCCCCTAAATATAGCACAATCTTACTTGTATTACAGTCTGCTGCTGCTGGCTCTGCTCCTGATCTGCCTCATCAGAAGTGTTATTCAAAGACAATCACAATGCTTTGCCATGGGAAAGCATTGGATTGTCTGAGACTGTCAAGGAGGCAGATCAAAAGGCAGAGCAAGCACAAGACAAACACAGCCCTAGTCAGTGTCCCTTTATCAAGTTCATCTTTGCTAAATTAACCCAGCCCTTGGATACATGTTCTAGGGGGTTGAAACAAACCAAACCTATGTTGTGTATTCACTAACTACCAAACTATAGTGAGTTGAAATTGAATTAAAACAATTGAGGTAGAAATAGGATTTACAAATGTTCTCCAACTTTAAAGGATCACTATAGGGTCAATAACACAAACATGTATTCCTGACTAAATCCACCATTTAGCCACCCTGAGCCCCTCATGCCTCCATAAATATAGCAAAATCTTACTGTATTCAAATCTGCAACTGCTTATTTTCTCCCTGTTTTCTTTAGACCTGCCCACTGCCTGCTGACATAATCAGAAGTGGTGGCCTGAGCCAATCACAGTGCTTCCCCATAGGATTGGCTGAGACTGACAAAGAGGCAGATTAGGGGCAGAGCCAGCATGATTCAAACACAGCCCTGGCCAATCAGCATCTCCTCATAGAGATGAATTGAATCAATGTATCTCTATGAGGAAAGTTCAGTGTCTGCATGCAGAGGGAGGAGATACTAAATGTTTGGATGCATTTTAGGCAGCCATGACCCAGGAAGAATTTCTAACAGCTATCTGAGGAATGGCCAGTTAAGTTATCACTAGGCTGTAATGTAAACACTGCATTTTCTCTGAAAAGACAGTGTTTACAAGAAAAGGCCTGAAGGTAATGATTCTACTTGCCAGAACAAATTCAATAAGCTGTAGTTGTTCTGGTGACTATAGTGTCCCTTTAAAAGGAACATCATAGCGTTTGGACTACAAGCATGTACTCCTCCCCCTCCCCCTTTAGTCTCATTAGATATTAGTTTTTGTGCTGCCTCTCCGCCTCCTTGGCTGAGATCATAAAGATCTTAGGGAAGCATCGGGAGGCTAGTGCGCAGGCGTATCAAAACAGAGCAGCAAAAATCAAATGCTCTCTAGGAGTCATGCGAAAAATAACCAAGTTCAAGTCCCTATAGCTAAGGAAGCGCCTCTAGTGGCTAACTTCCTGATAAAAGTGTGTTAACCCTGCAATGAAAACACTGCCATTCCTGCAGGGTTAAAAAGACAGGGATATGGCACCCACAACAGTTCACTAAGATGAAGTTATCTGGGTGCCCATAGAATTCCTTTAATTAGTGTAGCCTATGTAGTGTGACACGGTTTTTATTTCAGCAAAATGTAGGGTTTAGCGAATAATCTTTTGGATAAAATTAATAAATGATAACCTAGCGGTAGGTTCAATCAGTTGAATAAGTCTGTAGGTCTTTAAAAAAAATAAAAAAATAACAGGGCTGGCCTTAGATTTTCAGCCCCCTCATAGTAAAACTGCCTGTGTCAATAGGGGTTTATTCTTGGCAGTTTAATGGAGGGGGTTGAGAACAGAGTACTCTATGTCAACTCTGTCTCTGCACCCTCGCACTTTGTGGGTCCTTTTAAATGACAGGATAATCCATCCTGAGACCCTGGACAATGTGAGAGAGCACAGACACTGAGAACTGAACCAGACATGGGGAGAATCTGTATGTTTAGACAAACAGGATTTATGTTACTCTCCTGCAAGCTCACCACAACAGCGGATACTGGTGCAATGCACCAACTACCCTGCAGTCACCATAAGGGTTTTAGGGTAGCAGTTGGACAGACCTGAATTAGAGCACATTCAGTAATGATAGCCACAGCTCCCACTACCCACCACCACACTTTGCGTTGACTAAGGCCCTACCATTAATAAGGATCATCTCATTCAAGCTTCAACTTTGTCATGCAGTTGTGAGAACCACTGACTACCATGATGAAAAGACATTGCTGAAAATTAGCGAAAGGTGGCAAATTCTGCTGAACGATGCAAAAATGCTATAAAACCATTCCTGAAAATGCTGGGCGCCACCTATATACATCAACGGTCTAAACTAAAGAAGGTCCACAGTCACACTAGGCAGAAACTGTTGTCTTAACAAAGACCCTCCCCCCCCCTAACCCCCCAAAAAAGCAACCCATCCATTAACAACTACAATCATGAATATGTAGGTTATTGGCTACTAATGTTCATGGCCCACCATCTGACAGACTAACTGAGAATGGTGTTCTGACAACTCAGAGGAGACAACTGCTCTCTAAAACTAACACTGTGGCTCCAACTGATGTCCGATTCAAAGTAAGAATCTCACACAAAAAAAATCCACAAGGCCTCTTAACAATGTTTTCTGGACAGACAGTCCAAGACTAACTTTATTTTCATTGGGAAAAAAAACAGGTAATTTTGTTTGGTGGCGTAGGGGGCGGACGCCCAGCAGACAACTATCCCAACCACGGTTTTAAGACTATGATTTATGGCAGCATTGCTGTCTCAAGGCTTGGACAACTTGCCTGTTTAGATACAATCATGAATTCTGCACAGCAGCATAGGATTCTAGAGGAGACAGCAACCCATCCATCTGTAAGGTGAAGCAAAAGTGGCTCACACAACAACACAATGATCTAAATAAAGCAGTGTTTTTTCTTTCACCCAGAATCATACATTTAGGTTTAATTGTACTTAATACATGTCCTAGGGTATAGCGGTTATTACCTCATTCGATATTCACTTTACCAAATTAGTTTAATTAAAAAAAAAAAATAAAAAAAAAGTTACTCCAAGTATGCTACCGGGCTGTTCATTTGCAGAGGTTAGTTGATTGGCACTGCATTAATCCCCCCTCCTAGTGGATCCTCCTGTGTTGGTGGAGTCCATGGGAGGCCTTCCAGTCTTGCCTTGGCTAGACTCAAGGCATGTGGCCCAGCATACAATGTCTCACCCTACTGTGTCAGTTTGGAATACAATGGGGGACTCATGTAATCTTTCATTGGACCCTACTCCGATGTTTCTGCTCACGTTTAATTCAGAGTTCTCGGACGGTCTGTGCCCGGCCACTTTTAGTTTTTTAGACTAGAGTATGTGTCTTAGGCTCCGGGATGTAAGCTCTCCTGTTTTTCTTTCCCTCATAATTGTGACAGGAAACTCAGTCAGGTCTTCATAGTACTTTTAAACTTAAACGTTATTACGATACTTTGTCCCATCGCTCCAGGATGATTAGGAAACCGATTACAGAAGTCGATGTAGTCTGCAGACTTCATCGACTTCTGAAGTCTGGAGACACTGACACTGTGCATGAAAATTTGCATAAAATTGACATTAGCCAGCCCAGAACTCTTGTAGACATGTGCATAATCTAGTGACAAGATTGTACGATTTGAGAATCCTAGGACATACTTGAAAATCAGAGAAATCTCACTGTATTCCTCTAGGAAAAACAAATTCCAAATAAATAGATATGCAATTGCCTCAGTATTACATTTCCCACGGCAAAAGGCAATTCACAGGCATCACTAGCATACATCCATTTAATGAGGGTTATATTGGGGTAGTTATGTATTTAAACTTGAGGAAAACAACTCCTCATCTTCACACAATTCAGTTCGAAGCCTTCGACTGCTGGTTGGATAGATACTATTCAGTCATAAAATCTGGCTAAATGCTTCCCTTCTGTGTCCAAGTGGTGAAAAAAGGTTTTCTCTCACAAACATGTTTCTGTGACTATTTTCCCCATCTGTCCTTTCTCCTAGGACAGAGAGCACCGATAGCTGCCCATAGTTTAGCTCACAAAACAATGAACCAGGTTATGTGTGATCTGATAGCAGCTACACACCCGTGCTTTTCATATGCTATAATTCACACACTGAATATACTGTAGACTTGAGGAAATAAACACACATGCGCATATTCTAATGCACATATATACACAAAAACATGCCGTACGTGATATGCCAGCTATATTAACAAAAAAAGTTAACGCCTGCAGTAAACCTCATAACTCACAGTGTAACGTGACATCGTTCATCATGATGTCCCTGCATATCTTAGTGCAGAACTGGGGCTTAAATGTCCTAAACGGCCTGAGATTGATGGAGGCTGCTTTAACCTGGAGCGACTCCTATAATTCTGTCCAGGTTCCCTTACCGACATGTCTGGATTCATGAATGTCTCATTCTCCCATGCACCTCACCCAGCATATCAATAAAGAAAGAGGGACAGATTGACGGCCGATGCTTAAGTCTGGAGTGACTTCCGTTAAGCTGTCCAAGACATGTATGTCCTTGCGCAGCAGAAATCACGATTAACTATGTCGCTTTACAAATGGAATTTAAGGTAACTAGCCACTAATACTTTGTATTCTTTAACACCTTCTCTTCCTATATATCTCCACACACTTAAAAGAACACGATAGTCACTAAAACAACTTTAGCTTAATGATGGAGTTTTGCTGTATAGATCATGCCCCTGCTGTCTCACTGCTCAATTTCATACCATTTATGGGTTAAATCACTGTTAATGCAGTTCTAGTCGCACCTCCCTTTCCCTTATACAGCCTCTCTAAATACTTCCTGTAAATAATCATCTAATGTTTACATTTCCTTTATTACAAATTCAGTTTAATTTAGAATTTCTTATCTCCTGCTCTGTTAATAGCTTGCTAGACCCTGCAGGAGCTTCCTGTATTTAATTGAAGTTCAATTTGCAAGCGATAAAAAACCTTTAAAGCAACATCTGATTGAAAATGAAACCATTTTGTTTTCATGCAAGCTGTGCAGTCACAGCTCGGGGAGGTGTGGCTAGGGCCCCATTAACAGAAACAAAAGTGATTTAACTCCTAAATGGCAGTGAATTGAGCAGTGAAACTTCAAAGGTATGATCTATACACAAAAACGGCTTCATTAAGCTAAAGTTGTTTTGGTGATTAAATAATGTCCCGTTAACGATATAAATCAGATGTATACATAGCTCCCTACAGCTCACAGATCTCGGTGGTTTAACGGGAGAGGATATCAAGTCTGCGGCAGTCCCAGGTACCTAGTGAGGTGCAGGCTCAATCATAAAACTCTGATTCACAGCACTGGGAGGAAGGGATGTTATATCACTTCTTCCTAGGGTTGTCAGCTATGATGCCACACGGGACAGAAACAGGAGCCCTGAAGAGGTCACTGTTGCTGGAGAGAATGTTGCAGACCATGATTTTGTATAGCTTCGCTCACGTTAAAGTAATGTCCTTGCATGTGCTCTTGAATTGATATATGACAAAAGCATGGATGAAAAAAGGATTTGTTGAAATATATTAATATATCCACACGTACAAATATTTTTCAAAAAAATTTATGCAATCAGTGTTTGCTCTGAATTCTGTTCTCTCTGAATAGAATGCACTTTAACTGTGGCCAGCCTGGAAGCGTGGGTCATATAATGAGCATTCCATTACAAACACCACTACAATCTCTGTAAGCTAGAAACCTTAATGTCACTATTCCAATGACAGTCCGAATGCAAAATAAGATTTAGCTGAATATAGAACTAGCTTACACCAACCACTTTGATCTTTTCTGTGTAGTTTTGGTCTCCTTGTCTTAAAACCTTTTTTAATTAAAGCGTATCTCTCGCCAAAAACCCATCTAGTCTGCTATACATAGCCCACTGTAACGGAATCTCTTTATTTATTTTTCCCGAGCGAGTGGGCTTTCAGTAAGTACCTACAGAAAGGCTGGGATTACTTTTTCTGATCTACAGCAGTCATGTTGGAAATGGGAGGGGCTTAAAACAAGGGTCTGCTTCAGTTACCAATCAAATTTACCCACAATCCATCAATAAAGGAATTCCACGGAAAGGTAAACAAACAGCAGACATCATGGACAGAGGAGAACAAAATGGATGCTCCCAGGTACTAAAAACCCAACACAAGGAAGATAAGATAATAAATATAAATAAATGCAAGTGGAAACGGAGGGAGTAGAGTGATTATAGTACAGGGGACATACAAGACAGGCTGTGCTAGGAAGAAAGGTAGAAGCAGAAGTGAAAAGGGGCAGATATGGAAGAATTAGAATGGAGAACAGACTGCCATAGAATGATGTGCCAGGACTGATACCATTCAGGCACAGAAGGAAAGTGGGACAATGAAAGAAGAGCATTGTACTCTAGAAATAGAAGCAATGCAGACAACATAGCTCCGGGAGAATGAGAGAATACAGGACAAAGTATGCTAGAAAGAGAGACAGAGAGAAAGAGAGCCTAGAGAATTGGAAATGTTTAAAAGGTCACTCCAACCACCATAAGCACCCCGGCCCTGCTCTCTTACTTGGTCTTGCTGGGAGACAAGGGCACTCAATATTCTCTGCATCCAAATTTGCAGAGAATCGACATTAGCCCGCTCGGAACTCTTGTTCCTGGCACCATGAATACACCAAATCACTAAATTGGTCATGGTACCGGGAGTAATCATTTATGGAAAGGCAAGCAACAGACAGACCTATTACTAGTATTAGGAGACTTTAAAAAAATTTTTTTACAAAATGAAACATTTAAAAAAAAAAAAAAAAAAAAAAAAAGATATACTTCTAGAAAAAGAATAGCTAGCACTACATGATTAGAGTAGAGGCATCATCCATGCAAATGGATAAGGACAGTTAGGCCACAGTGCAAAAACTGAACAAAGAATGGGCAGCAATATGTAGGTAGGACAGACAACTAAAATAAAAAGAGCAGGCGGGTCGGCAGACCTAGATTAAAGGAACTCTCTAAACCCCTTAGGCATATTTTTAAAAAGTGTTAATTTCAAGAAAACTCTGTGCTTTTCTAAAGCTCCTTTGTTACACCTTCCCAGCTGTCAGACAACCAGGAGGGTTTCTCTCTTGCTGTAAACTATACTTCACAGCAACAGTGAGGGACCGCGCTGATCCTGGCACGGCAATTCATACAGCAGCTCACTGAGAAGTGTCTGATTGTTGTTTATCCACAAGTTTTCTCAGTGAGACGCCTCTGATTGCAGACAATGCCGAACACAGACAGGAAATATGTGCTTCATAAAAAATAGAGGGTGCTCACGTGACTACTAATGTAAGCTATAGTTTTTAACCCCACCCTCTAAAATAAATAAATGCATGTCTTTTTAAAAGGTTTACTGTGGAGTATCCCTTTAAATACAGAACAGGCAGTGAGCTAGGAAGGAGAGGGATAAGGCAGGTCTACAGAAACAGAGCAGACAGGGACACTGCAAAAAGAGGGCAGGTAAGTGAGGAAAGAAAGAGAAGACAGAATTAATGTGAAAATATACAGAAATCAATACAATTAATAAAGAAGGCAAGCTGCACTATGGCGGGAGCTATCGTGAAATTAAGAACCTGGGCAGCTTTAGCAAGGGAGGTAAGACTGGATGAGAATGAAGCAGACAGCTCTAAACATGGAGGGATAGCACAGCGCTTGTGTGAAAAAGAGTACAGGTGGCACTTTATAGGAGGAGACAAAAAAACAGAGACAAATAAAAAGACAGGCAAACAGCTACAATCAGACAGGTAGTGAGTGCCATTGAGTTAGAGAGCAGGCAGAACTACAATGGAAAGAGGCCACTGGCAGGCGATGAAGGCATAGCTAAATGAATAGAGAACTGGCAGCTTTAAAGAGGGAGAGGACACTGTGCTATAATGAAATGGCTCTAGAGAGTGAAAGAGTAGAGAGTGATAGAATGAAATAGACAGCTCTATTTCTATAGATGGGGAAGGAGAACATACTGTGCAATAATGAAATGTCTCTAGAGAGGGAAAGAGTATAGTGATAGAATGACAGCTCTAGATGGGTTAAGACGAAACCATGCTAGAATGAAACAGGCAGCTCTAGATGGGGAAAGACAAAACCATGCTAGAATGAAACAGCTCCAGATTGGGAAGGAGAACATAGTGTGCTAGAATTAAATAGCTCTAGAGAGGGAAAGAGTAGACAGGGGTAGAATGACAGCTCTAGGGGAAAGACGAACCAGTGCTAGAATGAAACAGACAGCTCTAGATGGGTAGGGAGAGTAGATTGTGTTAGAATGAAACACACCTCTAGATGGGTAGGGAAACAAACGTGCTAGAATGAAACAGACACCTCTAGATGTGGAAAGAAGAAACCGTGTTAGAATGAAATAGACACCTCTAGATGGGCAGGGAGAGCAGACCGTGCTAGAATGAAACAGGCACCTCTAGATGAGGAAGAAGAAACCGTGCTAAAATGAAACAGACAGCTCTAGATGGGCAGGGAGAGCAGACCGTGCTAGAATGAAACAGACACCTCTAGATGGGTAGGGAGAACAAACGTGCTAGAATGAAACAGACAGCTCTAGATGGGTAGGGAGAGCAGACCGTGTTAGAATGAAACAGACAACTCCTAGATGGTCAAGTAGAACAAACAGTGCTTAAATGAAAGGAAGAGCAGAAAGAGGATAAAATTGTGCTAGAGAGCCACTAGCACAAGGTAAGGCTAAAAAGATTAGATTGAACAGACAGCTCTATACCATGAGAATACTGGATTAAAAAAACCAAGAGCAGGGAGTAGAAATGGTGGGGGGAAAAGAAAGACAGACGGTGAAATTGAGATGGCAGTGCTACAAGTATTTGTAAACTGCCAACATATTCTAGGGCACTATACAGCGGGAACATAGACAATGGATGGTATCCAGTTATATGTTATAAGGTAAGTACAGTCTTAGTCTCCAAAAGTCTGCAGAAAGAAGCTGAAAAGGGGACCATGTTCACAAGCAGCAAGCCCTGAGGGAAGGGAGGGGGGAAGAGGGGGGGGCAGAGAGAGAGTGAGAGGCAGGCAGGCAGCGGCTGCTGAAAATATAGAATATCACAGGAATTCTAAAAAGGTAAGGGAAGAGATTGAACCTGACTACTTGATGTAGAGGGAACAGAACTTCAGTTCTTCCCATTCCCTACTAAGGACTTTAGGAATAAATATGGTATATGATTGTATGTATGTTGAAGCTGGGCAAAAAATATATAATTATCTATGTATTAACCCATCCAGTCATCCTTGCTTACGTACACCCCAGCCAATTATAGCGGATGGACTGAGTAGGAAAAGCACAGTGTAGGCACAGGAACACAGAGACAAAAACAAAACCCTAATTAAAAAGAGAGAAGTGAAGGAGCAGGTGTATGAGAGGAGGTTACAGCAGGAAATGTAAGACTAGTATTGATATGGGACGGGGATATGTGGAAGGCAAGCAGAAAGGCAGACAGGAAGTTGTGCAGTAGCCAAACACAGCATTGCAGAGTGATAGCGAGCTGGAGAAGGAAGACCGAGAAGAAGGGATACTGTGCAGTGGCAACAGAGGCATCTGTGACTGGCAGGAAACAGTGTAAAATTAAACAGAGAACTCTACTAGGAAGAGCAGAGTACAAGAAGCAAGACACAAGAGGCACAACATGCAGGCTGTGACGTTAGCATGTCACGTTTTGTGTGCCGCAGTAAGGGTACCACAGTTGGCCCTAGTCAAGGAAGAGTACAAACCCAAAGGATGAGGTATGAGAGATGAAAGGGAGAAAATACGGTAGATTAGCCTCCTTGCTAAAACTTATTTTTTTTTATTTTTAAAAAAAGGTGTTCAGAGAACAAGGGTGAAAGGAGATATCACTACAAAAAGAGAAAAGGTGGGAGACAGCTAGGACACAGTGGAAAAAAATATGGGGAGAGGTGACTAGACAGTGGATAAAAGAGCCATGCAGAATTTGAGAAATATGAACAGGAGGGAGTGCAGACAGCACTACAAGAGAGAGGATTAGAGAATAGCATGATCAGATGAGGCTGGAAAAGTAGAGGCAGTGGGGGAAAGATTGACAGGAGGTGGGACTCTAGAAAAGGAAATGAGAGGAGGAAAGCAGGTCTGGACAGAAAGGAAAACAGGCGGCACACCAGGAGATGGTGGAAAGGGGAAATTAGAGAATGGCAAACATGGCAGGCAGAGATTACTCCAACAAAATAAATGAGATGAGCAGAGAGAACATATAAGAGCCAGCACACTAAGTGAGGGAAAGGGTGGGAAAAGGAGCTGGAGGAAAGGATGGATGTTAGAGAGCAGACAAAAGAGAGGAAATGACAGGAAAGGGAGTAAGCAATGGTCGAAAAGAGGAGTATGGGAGATTGAGCATTGAGGATAAGGGAAACTGAGATGGCAGACACACAGTGCTAGAGACAAAGAGATGCCATTCACGGATTTAGCAGGAAATAAAACCAGCCGTGAATGGAAGGCTGCTGATACAACCAGGGAAGAATGTAGGAGCAGAGCTAAAATTAAGGACAGTCGGCAAGCAGCCCCTATAAAGATGTTAGATAAAAGGACAAAACAGTAATCATAAACAGAACAACCAAACAAGCAGGCAGTATGAGGCCAAACCCAACAACTATAAGCCCACCCTCTAGCTCACATACATTATAGGAGGAAGCAATGCTCCCTCTGGCTGTACAAGTAATGATATGCATGCTCCCAGCTCTCTGAGAAGCACCTTCAGAGATATCTGTAAAGGACGTGGTCCAGCATGCAGGGTTGCTCCATTTATAAAATAAATTTAACATTTAAAAAAAAAAAAAAAAAAAACACGAACGGAGATAATAGCTTTATTCATGTTTTCATATAGATAGAACTGCTGCATGGAGTTGAAATTGATATCCTGTAGGCCTCTGCTGAACAAGGGTTTATATGATATTATAAGCCATGACTAGGCAGCCTATGGGAACTCCTCATGGTGACTCTAGTTGTCATATTGCTGGCAAAGCATCAAGGGAGATGTAGTCCACAATATCTGGAATGCCAAAGACTGTCTACCCCTGTGAAAGCACTTGTACTGAAAATAATGAGCTGGCTATGAATGACTGACAGTCGTAGCAAGGACTGAAAAAAAAAATTACATCTGCAAAACGATAACTTGCACAAACATTGAAAGTGTGATCTTAGTAAAGCTAGCCACTCCAGCATCCTTTTAAACAGAATGGAGATGAGAAAGAAGTCTAGGGGTGCCCAAAAGGTAGATCCCCGGATGTTGTATAACTACAACTCTCATGATGCCTTGTCATTCTAAAGCATTCTAAAAAGTCATGCACAGCATCATGAGAGCTGTAATTAAACAACATCCGGGGATCTACCGTTTGGGCACCCCTGAAGTAGACAGTGCTACAAAACAACACAAGACTACAGATATAAATTACCTAGTATTGTAAAAGTGAACAACTGTATACTATATAATATAATAAGAATATAAACAAACATACATGCTAGACCAAGGGGAGAGGCATCAAGCGGTTATAAAAAAAAAGATAGAACCAGTGTTGAAACGTATACTTCGGGGGGAGTAGAACTGAAAAAAGTTGTAGGAAACAGCAGTCAATATAAGAAGAGCCATGCACTGCTTCAGATGGAGGGGGTGAGGGGAACTGATGCAGCAGGAGACATAGATAGTGAGAGAAAGGAGGGCAGGTAACAGGGAGAATGAACAAACTGTGATAAATGAGAGAGGTGAGAACAGGCAGTCATGGGGAAGAGAATAAGGTAGTGATAGGAGGGGACGAAATAAAAAAAATAAAAAAAAATCAACTGAGAGGCAGAAAGCTGTGACAGACACAGGTGGAGGGGGAGGCAGGCTAGAGACAGATCTGCAGGCAGCAGAGAAGAAAAAAAAAACAAAAAAAAAACAAGAGGTAGACAATGGCTAAACAGGAGAAAGGTATACACTTCTGGGGGGTAAATAATGGGTAGGTATTATCAGTAATTAGGCATGAGAAGGTATATTCGTACAGAAAACTGTGAATCTTAGCATGAGCAGCTTCAAACTGACTTGTAAAAAAAGGTTCATGGTAAAAGGCTCAATGTGTTCACTGTTGATCGGAAAACACTGTCAGAAAGGAGTGCAGTCAGCTTTCCAGCACAACAAGGGTTAAATTAAATATAATTCTTTTACTTTTTACAATCAATTGTAATTCTAATTTAACCTCTTCCCTGATAGTGGACTATAGACCATGCCCTCCTTAGGCAGACAATCACTTAAGCCTTCTCCTGCCATCATTATGCAAAGTCTCAAACTCTCCCCTGGAGAGCATTATTTAACCACTATCCTGCCATACACAGAGCCCTCTCCAGTAATCCGACAGAGCCCTCTCCAGTGAGTCTACAGAGCATTATTTAACCACTATCCTGCCATAGACAGAGCCCTCTCCAATAATCCTACAGAGCATTATTTAACCACTATCCTGCCATACACAGAGCCCTCTCCAGTAATCCTACAGAGCATTATTTAACCACTATCCTGCCATAGACAGAGCCCTCTCCAGTAATCCTACAGAGCATTATTTAACCACTATCCTGCCATAGACAGAGCCCTCTCCAATGAGCCTACAGAGCATTATTTGACCACTATCCTGCCGTACACAGAGCCCTCTCCAGTGAGCCTAACAGAGCATTATTTAACCTCTATCCTGCCATACACAGAGCCCTCTCCAGTGAAACTACAGAGCATTATTTGACCACTATCCTGACATACACAGAGCCCTATCCAGTGAAACTACAGAGCATTATTTAACCACTATCCTGCCATAGACAGAGCCCTCTCCAGTAATCCTACAGAGCATTATTTAACCACTATCCTGCCATAGACAGAGCCCTCTCCAGTAATCCTACAGAGCATTATTTAACCACTATCCTGACATTCACAAAGCCCTCTCCAGTGAGCCTACAAAGCATTATTTAACCAATATCCTGCCATAGACAGAGCCCTCTCCAGTGATCCTACAGAGCATTATTTAACCTCTGTCCTGCCATTCACAGAGCCCTCTCCAATGAGCCTACAGGGCATTATTTGACCACTATCCTGCCATAGACAGAGCCCTCTCCAGTGAGCCTACAGAGCATTATTTGACCACTACCCTGCCATAGACAGAGCCCGCTCCAATGAGCCTACAGAGCTTTATTTAACCACTATCCTGCCATAGACAGAGCCCTCTCCAATGAGCCTACAGAGCATTATTTAACCACTATCCTGCCATAGACAGAGCCCTCTCCAATAATCCTACAGAGCTTTATTTAACCTCTATCCTGCCATAGACAGAACCCTCTCCAGTGAGCCTACAGAGCATTATTTAACCCTATCACGATCATGCACAGAATAATGCAGGGATTCTACACACAGGCAGAACGTTTCAGTGATCATACAACTTATCATTTCATTGCTACCCTACCACTCATAGACAGAGGAATATGAATTTAGTTTATATAGTGCACAGAAATACCAAGCCTCAACTGTATTGTTTAACCCTTTCCAGGCCCCAATCAATGTATCCTACATTGATGCTACATCGCATTATTTTATTCTGATCCAGTCAAAATGCTACAAAACATTGCTTAGTTTAACCCTTTCCCTAACCTGGAGATCACCACTCAACCTCTCTCCTGCCAAAATACACAGGTCCAACAGGATTCTGCAGGTTATGGTGTAACCCTTTCTACTGACAAAACTCTACTAGATATCACTTAACCCCTTCCTTGCCTCACATAGCCCCGTTTTACACCGAAGAAACACAAGCCTTCGTTAACCCGTTTGTTTCCAAAGCATCACTGCAGTTAGTTAACCCCTCACCCCTGGGAGCTTCGTCCTCGCTGCTCTCTTCCTCTGAATTGCTGCCCACACTGTCCGATTTGACCCTTTTGTTGGAAATAATTGCATTGGAGCCAGATTTCTCCATCACCGATGGCATTTTTTGTCCCTTTTCAACACTTCATTCGCTGGAAGATGGTTCTTTTTTTATTATTTTATCAGCACAAGCATGAACCTTTCATAATAAAAATAAACACAGAAACCTTGATCAGTATAGTAAGTATATACACACAGTGAACAAAATCTGTTAATAAAAAGAAAATTAAATGACCAGATTCAGAAAATAAATGCCAAATACATTGAAACTGGGTGGCACTGAAAGGGTTAAAGACAAATACAGTAATCCTATTATAAGGCAATACAGAAGCTAGGATCAGGAGCAAGCATAATGTTTCAAAAAATGTATGGCGATTATATATATTTTTTTATTTTACTTTTTTAAATAACCCAACTTTAAAAAAGTGATTGTTCTAAATTACATGAATGGGGACAGAACTATATGTAGCGAGGATTGATTCTAGAATGGAATTTGGTACTTCAAGATAAAAAAACAAAAAAAAAAAAAACAAAGCCCAACTTTTACATGATCAATAACTGCCCATGAAGGATAACTGAAAAAACGTGAGTGAAAGAAGACAAAGAGGATGAATTATTGCAGAGAAATTACAATGAAAGTGACTGTGAAATGAGGGGTGGGAGTGCTGAGAGTTGTAAGATATATTGTATACAAGATGTATGCATAATATACCTGGAGCTTGGCCTTTGTGTGCAGGGAGCAAAGTTTGCAGACTTATTGCATCCAGTGGAAGGAAGGAAGCACAGAGTGGGGAATGGATGGAGGAGGAAGAGAGCAGGGCACACAGTAGAAGTGAGGGAAGCCCTGTAGTTCCCAATGCTGTTCAATCACAATGAGAACCAGCCACACACAGTCAGTCTGCTTGTGGATAAAGATCCGGCAAGACCGGCTCACACAGCCGGACGTAACCCTCCGCCTCCTAGACTGCTCTTTCTCTACCCAGTGCACAGCTGCCGGCATTACCCAATGTGACCTCCTCTCCCCCCACTCTATTCCATTCCGGTTCCCCCTTCCCCCAATACCCTCCTCCATACTCACACCCCACTCTACCCACAATTAGCACCATATCACAACACCTACTTATTCAAGCTCACCTATTGACTACCCTAGGGCAAAATAATGCCCCTCCAAATATAGCAACATGCTATACACAAAGTGTTCCACCTTCAGCTTTACAGCCCTTCCCTCACAATGCCTCACCGTCTGCTTGATAACCACCCTGGCCTTTATGCCCCATTTTGTTGATCTCTAACCCCTTACAGTTCTTGCACATCTTCCTCCTCAATATGTGTCCATAGCCATCCATTAGATTTATTTTTACCCCATTTCCACCGTGTCCTTTGTTTCCAAGGCCACCCTGCTTCGTTTAATGCTTTTTTATGTATTATTAAATATCTTAGACATCCTCTGCCCCCCACTGATAAGTCATATCTCTGTCTCCTTGATTTCACATCCATATCGGTATGCCCCCTTATTTCACAGCCACATTGGGTTCAGTCCCCCGATATTACAGCCATATCTTTCTGTCTGTCCCCCTGATATCAAAGCCAGATCTGTCGGTCTGTCTCCCCTGATTTCATAGCCATGTCTGTTTCCCTGATATCACTGCCATATCGGTTTGTCCCCCGATATCACGGCCATATCGGTTTGTCCCCCTCCATATTACAGCTGTATCTATCTGTCCCCCGATATCACTGCCATATCGGTTTGTCCCCGCTCCATATTACAGCTATATCTGTCTTTCCTCCTGATATCACTGCCATATCGGTTTGTCCTCCCTCCATATTTCAGCTATATCTGTCTGTCCTCCCGATATCACTGCCATATCGGTTTGTCCCCTCTCCATATTACAGCTATATCTATCTGTCCCCCCGATATCACTACCATATCGGTTTGTCCTCCCTCCATATTACAGCTATATCTGTCTGTCCTCCCGATATCACTGCCATATCGGTTTGTCCTCCCTCCATATTACAGCTATATCTATCTATCTATCCCTCCGATACCACTGCCATATCGGTTTGTCCTCCCTCCAAATTACAGCTATATCTGTCTGTCCCTCCGATATCACTGCCATATCGGTTTGTCCTCCCTCCATATTACAGCTATATCTATCTGTCCCTCCGATATCACTGCCATATCGGTTTGTCCTCCCTCCATATTACAGCTATATCTGTCTGTCCTCCCGATATCACTGCCATATCGGTTTGTCCCCCTCCATATTCCAGCTATATCTATCTGTCCCCCGATATCACTGCCATATCGGTTTGTCCCCGCTCCATATTACAGCTATATCTGTCTGTCCTCCTGATATCACTGCAATATCGGTTTGTCCTCCCTCCATATTACAGCTATATCTGTCTGTCCTCCCGATATCACTGCCATATCGGTTTGTCCTCCCTCCATATTACAGCTATATCTATCTGTCCTCCCGATATCACTGCCATATCGGTTTGTGCTCCCTCCAAATTACAGCTATATCTATCTGTCCCTTCGATATCACTGCCATATCTGTCTGTCTGTCTACCTAATATTACAGCTATATCGGTTTGTCTCCCACTCTGCACATTTTTATTGTTTGTTTTTTGCACACTCCAGCCCCACTCCCCTCCACTTCCCATCTAATCATTTCAGTTGGCACGCTGTCCTCTCACACACGCTCTATTGTCTATTTAAATACCCTTCATTCGCATGACGTCTCTGTATACAATTTTCAACAATATATTTAAATAAGATACTGTATGAAAACCCTCTTAAATCTTTTATAGTTGTTGTCTAAAAACCATCATACAGCTTTATGTAGAATGTCAACTTTTATTTTTTGGGGGGGGTGGGGGGGAGGGGTGCAGGGCAGCTGTATGTATTGGTCCCTACACCCTTTGTATTTCATGGCAGTAGTTTGAAACACAAATCCTGCAGGATAGGAAGCCCTCTCTATACCCCTTCAGACCTACCTAAGAGAGATCAAATGCGGGAATGCACTGGGGGACTTAGTTCTAAGAATCTAGCTAGCTGTTATTGGGAGCACAGATGAGGAAATGGGGGTTTATCCAATGCTTGGGCAATGTTTTTTAAAATTGGATCAGTCAGTAAGAACATCCCCCTATTTTGCATGATAATTACACCACTTTAGTAACTTTGTCAAGCACCTCCTAGTCTGTAAACAACTCAATTTACATTTAAACCAGAAATGGGGGCGTGGGGGAGGTTGTTGGTCATTTTAGCTTTCACCATAGGTCATTATATGAAACTACTTTTGTATGCAACAGGCACATTAAAAAAAAAAATCCATATATACATATCAGAACTCATTTTAATAAGTCACTGCACAATAGAATGCTGGGAGCTAATCAGCTCAACTACAAAATGAGCAGGTTCTGATCTGCTGATTCCGCATATTGTCAGCAACGTATCTTTATATTTTTCAATTAGTAACTGTCTGTTGGACTGCTAAACCCAGACACTGATCACAAAATGTATACATTTTCAAATTTGCAATTCTTGCTCTAAACAAACAAGAATTGTGTCCAGATTTTAGCCTGTTTGAATGTTGTTGGATGACTGAAGTTCAGGCTGGGCTGGTTCAAATCTGAGCCCAAATTTCAGATATTCAAGCTAACTGCTCTTTGGCTGTGCCCAGCAGCCAGTGGGCAAGTAGTGAAAAGATCATTAGCATTACAAGGGTGAAATTAGGTGTTGGGTGAACACCCTTTGCAAACAAAAAAAGTATTTAAAGTTAAATAAAAACCTCAAGGGGTCAATTTGGTGGGAGCATAGCTACAAAATAGTGAGTATTCATCATAACAGTTTAAAGGGACACGTCCAGTGGCCACTGGAGGTGTCCCTAGGCTGTAATGTAAGCACAGTGTGTAGTATGAATGTTGAACTTTCCCCATAGAGAAACATTTATTCAATGCATCTCTATGAGGAGATGCGGATTAGCCAGGGCAGCATTTGGCTCCACCCCGGCCTGCCTTCCTGGCTGATATCATCAAAAATTACAATCTCAACGGGAAAGCATTTTGATTGACTGAGATAATCAATTCTGATTATGTCAGCCAAGGAGGTGTCAGGGGCGAAGCTAGCGCTGCCAGACCCGTTTTGGTGCTGGAAATAAGGTGAGGTTGTTTTTTTTTAAATCTTTATTTTTGCGTTGACAAAAGAGGTAGCACTGAGGCTTGCGCAGAAGCCTAAATTAAGCAAGGTGTCACACAAAAGCTTGTACATAACGAGGAGATTATACATAGCAATCCTGCATTGTTCAGAGGTGTGGCATTGCTTACATGTATGCAGTCATAGAGTGTCCCCTTTAAACACTTTAGCAGCACTTTACAGCTACAGCATGGGTTCCGAGGACTCGATGGTCAATCGCCAGCTTTCTACTGCTGAATTACAATTCCCAGAAACCCAAATTAAACATCATATACAGTGGTATTTTTGTTTTGAAAAAGGAAACACTACAGGTTGCAGACTAGCACCCTCTTGTCCTATGTAGCGCACATCTATGGCAGAAAGGATGGGCTAGTAGGGCAAAACTTATTATTAAATAACTAACTGTATCCAAACATACACATTGCATTTAACATGTGTGTGCATGGAGTGTCCCTTTAATATCACATTTTCTTTATTGCTAACTATCCTTAGCTCTGCATGTTAATATCTCCTTGACACTAGTTGTCAACCTTTTCACTTTACTTTCCCTGCACCTTCCACACGTTAAATCACTCCATATTATTTTATCACCATTAATCCTTGTACCTTACCTTTTAATCCAAATCTCCCTCATTGCTCTATGTCCTCCCCCTAGCTTCCATCACTTTATGTAAATCTCTTCTTCCTGACATCACTTCTATATCCATTGTCATGGTCAGGCAGACAACTACCGGTAGTTCAAATGGGATTTTCTATGTATTTAACTGGCTAACCAATCCGTCTAGAGGGCAGTATGCTGTCAGGATGCAAAATGGTGTGAGAAAAGCTGCTTTTTGCCTCTGCTCCACCAAAAGATTGCCAAATGAGGCCTTCACACAAAGTGACATCTACTGAAGGCCTCCATTACTGTTCACTGATCTTGGTTGTAGATTTAGTTTGTGGAACAATACAAAGCAGCACTGTGAAGGTCAATTATCTGCTAATAGATTCATATAAATAAATGCAAGAATGGAATTCATCCACTAAACAGTGTATTGACAACCAAACTGCTAAATATAGGTTAAATAGAAAAAATTGTGGCAATAGCCAACATAGAGACATTTCAAAATTTAGCTATTGTTACCTAAGTTTGATTTTTCGATTGACTATAATGTGGTGTTTAGTGAATAAGTCACTATGGGGTTTATTTGGTTTTGAGTGAAGAATTGTGGAAAATTGATAAACAAATTGAGCAGTCAAGCCAGACAATTAAGCAAGTTTGAGAATGTATCTTATTGGGTATATATGTGTTAAATTTCAATATAGTGTAGTTTAAATAAATATGATTAAATAAAAGACAACATACATCACACACCTGGCTATGCAACCTAACTATTGGACTTGGAACACCAGGGTGCTGAATAACAAGAGATGAAGTCCAGTCACAGCTAGAAAGTAGCAGATTGCCAATACCAATAACTGATAGTGCTGACAAGGCATTGCATTGACAAGACGCTATTTCACATAAATGTTTTACACGAACGTTTAATAAATTATGCTATACAGAAAAAGAGAGCATTTGTTTCACTCTGTTTTCTGCATGGAGAGCTAGTGTTAGGGTGAGAGTGTCAGTTGACATCTGCTCCGAGGCTTCTTCATTTGAACTTCAGATTAAGACAGATTAACTAGGCGCCATGTTTGAAAAATCTGCGGTTAACATGTGCTTTTTCAGTTTA